GGCTTCATGTATCTTTATTAATTATTCCACCTTTTATCTTTATTATCTATGGTTTGTTCGTTTGTATTTTATGAAATTCTGGATAAATAATTTTGTTTATATACTAAAAGCATTCTTTTTCTTATGATTAAGATCTCGCTAAATTAATCTATATTTTACAGTTTTTTTTTTAAATATTAATCATCTCATCATTAATTTATTTAGAATATTTAGGATATTTATTGTCATTTAGTGAACTCAGAATGAATTCCTACTTATCGACATATCAATTTTAAACTGTTTAACGTTTATTTAAAAATATTTCAAAACATGTCAGACATAAATTACACTATTTATACATTTATTTTAATCATTATTAAATTTTAACAATCAATTGAAGTAACTCTTCAAATTCATAATTTACCTTTTGAATTGTAATTGATAAAAACTAAGTAGTTTTAAAGTCCAAGAATTTAAATAGAATTAAGCACTATCTTGATATTCATGCAAAAAAATTCTCTGATTATCATAATACAATACCCGTTTAGTATTCTAGTATTTAATAAATATAAATATCTCTGGGTTGACATACAGTAACTTCTTATCATTTATGATTGCAAAACATAGTTTAGATACGTATGTATTTTGCAAAATTGCATTGCCAATTCATATGCGACAATGAAACCGTTTAAAATTACGTAATTATTTTACTAGATTAATATTTTGCTTATAAATCATGTATATTTAAAAAATATACTTCAAAATAACATTGCTAAAATAACAATTTGCAAGAGAATTACAAAAATCAATATGTTTAAAAGGTTATTTTAAAGCATACAATAAATCGAAATATATAATAAAATAGATTTTTATAATTAGAAAAATAACTTAAATTTGTATTACTATTGAAATTTGTTTAGTCAAAGAAAAATTTGAAAGTTTTAGTAGATAATTATAATAATGTTTGTAAATATATAAAAAATGTAATGTGAAATAATACATAAACTGGGGAAATAATATTCAACTAATTTAAATTTAAAATAAACAACTTTGTTTATAAAATAAAGAGTTACAGAAATGACAAAGCGGCATGTTAATTGTTAATAGAAATTACTTAGGTTGAAAAATTAAATTCTATATCATTTTAATCATAGTATTTCATGATTATTTTATGTATAATAATATTTAAATAAACATTTAAAATATTAAAGGGACAATAAATGTACTCAATAAATAATAAAATGTAAAAATAAGATGATAATTGTATTATGATGGGCAAACAATATATTATATATATATCAATACTTTTATTAAATACCAATAAAAAATTATAAAAATTTAAAAAGAAGATAAGCATTTAAAATTTTAATGCAATATATCTATACAATGATTAGTATTTTGATTCCTTTAAGATAAGAATTTAATAATTTTTCAATCTTAAATTCATACGTGTAAACATTTTTGTAAAATTTTGTTAAAAATATAATTATAGTACGATAAATAATTAAAAATTGTTTATAATTATTATTTTATGAATAGTAATACTACTTATAAATATATACAATATTTACTATAAGCGGATTTGAAATGTGATTCTAAGAGTATATTTATTATCAAGAAAATAAGAAAAAATATTTCCAATCTTAAAATCAAAGATTCAATAAAATAGTACAATTGATAAACAAATTATGCCTTTATTTAAATCTTTTATACCAAAATTAATTTTCCATAATCGTAATATAAATAAAATAAACCTTTTAGATATTTAGATAACAAGATATTTCATTCTGTTCGAGATTCCGAGACCTTTTTCAATGTAATATAACATCTGGCAAAACAGCATCGTGAATTTGTGTTTAGATTTCAAAACTTTCTTGCTTGCAACCATCTAGCAATAGTGTCATGAAACATCTAGAAAAACAATACAATAAACACAGGAAAAATCCACTCAGACATCTGTACGAATTCGCTCCGCTCGGTAATTACTTCAGGCGTCATGTCGAGTGGACCTACGCCCCCTCCTTTCCGCTGTCTATAAGTTGTCATGCTGTCGCCAGATGCGTCAGCGACAACGAGAGCTCTTCTTGCCATGAAGCCCAAGAGACGACTAGGCCCTTAACTAACTATAAGGCCACAAGAGGCGCTGCCCTCGCACTGTAAGGGAGGAGTCTCTGATTGGACGAAGAATAAGGGAAGGGATTCAAGTGAAATTCATGGTCAGCAAATGTATTTAAGGGGCGCATTTTTCAATATTCATCACTCTTGATATAGTTCTTATTCAATAAGTGTGAAGTGGAAGTCCATCAACGCTGCCAAGGGAACAGTGCTTACATGTCCTAGAGGAACGACGACATACACCCGTATGTCCACTAACGCAGTTCAAGAAACCGTCATTACAAGTTCAAATACTTATCGGATTGTCCATTAACGCTGCCAAGGGAACAGTGCTTACACATCCTAGAGGAACGACGACATACACCCGTATGTCCACTAACGCAGTTCAAGAAACCGTCATTACAAGTTCAAATACTTATCGGATTGTCCATTAACGCTGCCAAGGGAACAGTGCTTACACATCCTAGAGGAACGACGACATACACCCGTATGTCCACTAACGCAGTTCAAGAAACCATCGTTACAAGTTCAAAGGGAGCAACGACAATCCGCATATCAGAGTCCGAAGACACTGGCAGTTTCCTATTAACGTAGTTCAACACAGCTATCGTTACAAGTCCTATTGGCGGGAGACGTCTTACCTTATTGAAGTCCAGACACGTTGGAAGTTTCCTATTAACATATTTCAATACAACTATAGTTACAAGTCCTATTGGCGGACGACGCATTCCAACGACAAGTATCCAGTGACAAACCCCCTTGAAGAAAGAACAAGGAGGTCCCAATTTCAAATACTAGCAGTCTTCGTAAGTAATATTATTATTACAATAATTACATATTCTGAGATTCAGATATTAGGAAATCAACAAGCAATTAAGAACGAAGAAGCTCTCCCCAGAGCAACAGTGCGGAATAGATTCCAGTACGCGACGCCAAGTTCGCGCCCACTAAAGGGCGTCTTGTTGGCAACCCTCACCTTAGTTCAAGTTCGGACGCTTATGAACTTAAACAACAAACAGCGCGAGTGTCGACGAATTAAACTTTGCGCCATTCTACGGTCAAATTCAATCGTCACACTGCATCCATAACCTCTATTACACACGTGCTCATTCAAACAACGCGAGTGTTGACGAACCAAACTTCGCGCCATTCTGCGCTCATATTCAAACCATCAAGCTACATAGATGAGTATACGTTTGCCAAAGCAAAAACATCACTTCAATCCAAAAATTATTTCAATAATTAATAATAGTAATACTAGTCAACCTTGTCATCAATAAATAACAGAATAAACAGTATACATCAGCTATATTTATATTGTATTATTATAATATCCCTTTCACTTGTGACTTTTCATCGCTACCACACAACGCCCGTGGTCTCTGAGTTCTTAACGGCATCAATTTGTATCCTTCGAACCGGCCTTGGTAAAACAAGCCGGAACGGCGAATCCATTTTGTACACATTCAATTTAATGATTATATTAAAAATAAAATAAAATGCTTTAATATATTTATTATAGAAGATTACAATTGAAATGATCTTATTTTAAACACAAAATGTATATCCAATATTTCATGTAATGGTTACCCATGTACTGCATAAGCTTTGTAAATTTTAAAATGTATCATAAAAAGTTGATATTTAATAATTGACAATAAATTTTTTCTGAATTAAAATGAAATTATGCTGTTTGTAGAGTTTATATTTTTAAAACTAATTTAAGCTAATATTAGTACTAAAATGAATTAAATTCTATTCAGTAATATTTATTCAAAAAAAAAAAATAAATCTAAACAATACTTTATCATAAATTATTAACAGATTAACAAAGAGTATACTGAAACTTCATTGATAAGGGTATTTACAATAAAGAATTAGTAGTACTAAAATGTAAGATCATTATTGGTATATAATTCAACTTTCACCAACTTTAAAATTTATAAAGAAATTGGACCAGATTACATTTTCAATATTTTTAAAATTATTTTCAATACGACTAAGAACTATATATCAAAATAAGAAATAGAAAATAAAATAATAGTAAAAATATTGAAAATTTTGAAATAGAAATTTTATTATTTTGCAAATAAATTTTTTTATTTTGTGCAATTCAAAAAGTTTGAGTGCAAAATGGAACACTCTTTTTAAAAATTAGTTAGTTTTATAACAAATTTGTAATATATTTGGTAATGTAACAATTATTCATACATATGATTAAGATTTAGGTTTTATATAGATAACCATTTGGATAAACAGATTTTTAAAACAATATTTATAGAATTGTCGAATTGTGGATATTAATGGTATATAATTATATTCTAAAAGTTTATCATTACATATTTTAAGAGCAAAAAGTTTAATTTTAACTAACCATTATGTTACCACATTTTTTTAATAAATATTTATCAAAAAGTAATTAAAAATTTATAATTCATATAATAAACTATAATTTTGCTGGGAAAATGATAATGTATATTCTGATAAATGTATAAAAATAATAAAACTTTTATATTTAACGTTTCTATACAATTAAGAGAGGAACTTTGATATCATGCAAAATCGAATTGTAATAAAATAGCAAATATTAAATGTGAGACAATTTAAAATAATGTATACTAATAGAATATAAAAGAATTGTTGCTTGATTTATACAAATGCAATTAATCTAGAATTTTCTAAGAATAAATAATTATAAATGTTTATTTTAATTGTTTAATGAAATTAAAAAGATTTCTTAACTTTTAGTAAATACTAATTTATATCCATATAATATATAATTATTATAAAGAAGTTAAACTAATATAGTAAAAATATAAAGAATAAAAATGTTGAAAGATTGATAACTATACGATTAAAATAGTGAAATAAAAGGGGAGGGAAAATATAATAAAATTAATTCCTACCTCTCTTGCCATTACTTCATATTCCTACAGATAAGGGAGTGTCCTTCAAACTTTATATTGTTATCTGTGACAATTGCATCATTAGAAAACTGATGACAACACGCCAAAATATATTTACAGCAACACTCAAACTCCAATACTTAAAAAAAGACAATATTACAGTATTTAATTTCTTCGAACTAATAAATTAACATGCAAATCTACTACGAAAATAAAAGGGGCAATTATAATTTATATACCTTATATTTTATCCTACTTTAGATATTCCAAATACTTCTTATAATTGATCAATCTTAGAAGACAGTAACGCAGACGGACGCAAATTGTTATAGTATTGTCTATCTTTGGTTACTGCGACGACTCAGAGTTTTAGATCGATTTTCACTTGCTATCACAATGAGTGAAATATAAAAGAGGGGATAGAAATAGAAAAAAAAATTTCAAATATTAGTTTTCTATATAATTAGTATCAAATTTTTAGAACGTATATATTACTAATTTATTTAATATACAGATAATCAGATTAATGTAAGTCAAATATGATATCAATTAATAATTTTATTACAATTACGCTCAAAATTGTAGAAATTTCATGACGAGCACGCGCAATATGTTTAGTTTATATTTCCGCGCATCTTCATTATTTCAATTTACAATATTACTAGAAATTATTGTTTTTTAATCATTTTTAATATTAATTTTTTTATATTATTTTCAACTTTTATATTAACTTCATTTGTAACTGAGAATATTATTTAAGGGTACTAATTTATAACTTTTACAATAATATATTTTGGCTTGCTATATTATTAGCTGAACATTTAAAATAAACATATTATATTAAACATAATATGTATATGTTGAAATGTAAATTATTTAGACTATGTAAGTTTAGACATAGTGTTTAATTAAATATATTATACATATAATTGCAAATAATAAGATATATCATACTTCCATTTAGTTAGTTTATTCTATTAATTTATGCTTGGTATTAGAATATTGGGTTCGTGTACAAACTAATCGCTTAGCTCCATTATTTTCATTGGTAAATATATGTAAGTTTTCAAATCATTTTCTAGTGAATTTTTAGTTTGCAAGTAATAAATATTGTTACTATGACTTTCTTAAGCTTTCAGAAAAGAAACATTAGAATGTCAATCTAAAATCTTAAATTCATTAATATTTTTAACACTATCCAATTCATCATAGCATTAGACGCAGTTGTAAATAATACTTTTTTCCATTGCCAATAGTTAAATTCTTGGTACAAGAGTTATGGCATGTTTAAAATTACCTTTTAATTTTCAAGCAACTGAACTGCCCTTTGATGTGCAGTGTAATCATTAATATTAGAAAGTACATGTAATTACATATATCTTTGTTGGCATTTTATATTTGTGAAATGTAAAAAATATCTTATACATTAACATAGCTAACAATATATTAATGAAAAAAAATAATACCCGTCTTCACATAGAATATATATATTTAAAATATCCATCAAGTATTAATATTTTTTATATTTCAAAAAATTTGAAAATTTTTAAACTATGGGCACTATGTATGACATTCTACTTAGTATGAAACTGTTACTGGTACCTTTTGTAGCGGCTCTGCTGAGAGTGTTTGAGATTACCTGACTGACTCGTTCTTGGGTGACTAGCACATGGCTGATTACCGCTTATCTCGCGATCCTTGCAGTATTGCAACAGCTTCGTGCTCTGGGACATTAGTGTATAAACTCTATTTAGTATGAAGCTGTTGTATGCACCTTTTTGCTTAGTGTCTCTGCAGAGTACGTGCGCTTGTTGCCACCTAGTGTGAGAAAGGCCTGCGACCGCTTTGTGCACTTCAGATAGGATTGTGCCTCTATTTAGTACAAAGGTTTTGTGTGTACCTTCCGTACCGGCTCTGATCCTTGAGAAGCTCTGGTAAAGAATAGGTGGAAGTGACACCTAGTATGATACAGTGTCTGTTGACACTGTATCCATGAAAAACTCTATCCAGAGAAAGGTAGCTACCGAGACTTGGCTGCCGACTTTGCCGTGGGAGCTACTTCTGCCTTCTTTCTTGGCGTCTCAAATCAGAGTGCCTCTGGCTTCGGCGTCTTTACTTGGAGCGCCCCTAATAGTCTACTCATGGCTTATTAATGCGACAGTATGGCTAGACTTGAGAACAGTCGATGTGATTGTATACTATTAGATTTTAATTTTTGGGTGTAACGACTATTTCCAGAAGCCTAATGATTTGGATTTTCCAGATGTTTAACGACTTGGGTTTTCCAGATGTCTAATGACTTGGGTTTCCCAGATGTTTGACAACTTGAGGGTTCTCACAATTTCGAAAACATATAAATAAGATAATATCTATATTATACAATTGCATATTGCCATATGTAAATAACTTTGCTTCTAGTTTTAAAATTGTTCATAAATCACCTGAAAAAAATAATATATTTTAAATACATTTTAAATATGAAATATTTTAAACTATTATAATTTAAAAATTGACAATACTCGTTTTCAAATTGCTATTTCATATTATTAATAATTGCAATATGCGAAGATATAATTCAGTCTTTTTTGTTGTATATATAGCATAGTAAAAAATAATTACTATTAAACACAATTAAAATCAAGTTAGATTGCATGTTTATATATTTTGCATATGTTCAAAAATGCGAGAACATTTTTTCCTGTTTGTCAGTGCAATAAAACATCTGGTAAGTAACATCGTAAAATTTGTATTTGGATTTCAAAACTTCGATTGCTCAAAATTCTCACGCATTAGTGTCATAAAACATCTGGAAAAACAATACCACAAACACGGGGAAACCTATAGTTTTGACATCTGCATTTTCGTTCCGCTCGGCAACTACATCAAGCATTACTGCAAGCGGACCTTCCTTCCCCTTCCTGCTGTCGACAAGTTTCAATGCTGTCACCAGATGTGTCAGCGATGCCCCCCCCCTTTCCGCTGTCTACATGCTGTCGCATGCAGCAGCAGCAACGAGAGATCTGCTCATCATGAAGACTCAGAGACGACTAGGCCCTTAATTAACTCCGAAGCCAAAAGAGGCGCTGCCCTCGCACTATAAGGGAGGAGTCTCTGATTGGATAGAAAATAAGGGAAGGGGTTCAAGTAAATTCATGGTCAGCAAATATATTTAAGGGGCGCAATTTTCAATACTCATTTACTCTTGATACTTAACGCTCTTAATACTTATCATTCATGATATTTTAACTGTCTTGATATTTACTCTTGATAGTTTCTTTAGTAGTATTTTCGTGATATTACTCTTTTTTGAAGTGTCTCTCTTTTTTTGATATCTCTCTTTTAGTAATACTCTCTCAATATATTAAACCCTTCAGATATTTCATACTCAATTAAGTTTAGTGAAAGTCCATTTAGCGCTATTTCGGGAAC